GCCGCGCGCGCTCTCGGCAGCCGGTTGGGCTACGAGAACAAACAGCTGGCAGCTCCCGGCTCTCGAGCCTCCGGGCCCGGACCCCTCTCCCTGCCGGCGAGGGGACTGACGACCGATCCGTCTGGTTGGGCCAGGCTCATCGGCGTGTTTTAATCACGGAATTTACAACCAACGCTCAGAAGCGCCTGGAGGGGAAAGGGTTGAAGGAGAAGTGAGGTTGCTGACACGTTCAGGCGAGACCAGATGGGAGAGGCGGTGGGGCTGCAGCCACGCGGGCGCGCACGGGAACACACTCCCACGCACACAGGGCGCCTCAGCTCCACACTCCTCGTGACACACCCTCGGCTGCGGAAGAGCCGCCCGGGAGCCCTGGGCTTTCTTGCGCACCTTCCCGGAGCGAAGCTCTGCTCGCTCACGCAGGGTGCTGGGGCGGTGCACGCGCAGCGGCTCGTAAACTTTCCGCGCTGCTCAGAAGCAGATCTGCGCTGCATCGAAGATGCATGTGGAAGTGCCTTTGGATATATATATTTTTAAATAACAAGACTGTAATAGGGTGAATGCTAGAAATGGACTTGGCGCGAGGGGAGGGGTCAATCCAATACCCGCAGCCTTAGCTGGCGGAAAAGCCAGGAGCAACTTCCATCTTGTGGATTTAGGCGGGAACGCGGCTTCTCGGAGCTCCGGAAGCCCTGGGCTGGAGACTCGTCCTCCGAATGCCCCTTTTATTTGATTTTTCGTGAGGCCGTGGGCCTGGCCCCTGCCTGCATCTTTTCGCCCTAAAGGTGGACGGTGCCCTCCAAAGACACCTCACTGGCTGGGCACCGGAGAAGGCCTAGGGGTGGCGTGGAGCTGCAGGGAGCCGTCTTCCGGGGCAGCCTCCTCCGCACCTTTCCAGTTGTAGAAAACGACTTTATACCTAACGAGATCTCCTAGCATCAGTCCAGTAGTCATACTGCCTGGGAGTCTTGGACCCTTAGCCAGAGGCTAGAAGCCTGGCTATTGAAAAATAAGTAATCGGAACAAAAACCTTTCACCCTTCCCTTCCCTACTCCAAGGGTCTTCCTGCGGCCCCAAATATGTGTGTGTAACTATAGGAGAGCTCTGTGAAGCATGCGGGAGTGCTTCCAGGGAACAGGCTGAGAAGCAGCAGTGGACACCCAGGGAAGGCCCCCACTGTTTCCATGGGGACTGGGACTGGGATTCTGGCAGCAGGAGGCCTGTGACGGAGACCCTTCAGGAACTCAGAACCTCACAGCTCTCACAAGGACAGTGGACAGTAGCCACCATCACCAGCATTCAGCCTGTTGCAACACCCCGACCTTGGACCTCTCTCCCCTCCAGTCTGTACAAAGGTTTCTCCCATGCAGCCAACCCCAACCTTCCCCCCAGCTACTTTTGGGCATGGCAGAGTCACCATTCGTTCCTGAGCATCTGCTATGTGTGAGGCACCCCCTTACCTTGTATAGGGATCTGCACCGGAAAATGGACTAGCCGGGACCAACTTAATATCTCTGAACCTCAGTCATCTCATCTGTAAAACTCAGATTTTAAAAAATCAAGCCGTGGGAAAATTAGGTGAGATATTACACCCAAAGCAGCTAATACAATGTCTGCCTGGCTCACAGAGCTCTCCACCCCTTTCCCCAGGGATCCAGGGAGAGAACAGAGGATGCCTGACAGGCAGTAAAATCCAAGTGGCAAATGACAAAGCGGAGATTAAAAAGTGGAGTAATGCACGGGGATTTAGCTCAGTGGCACCATGCCTGCCTCAAAAGTGCAAGGTCCTAAGTTTGATCCCTGGTACCAGGAAAAAAAAAAAGTGGTGAAGTATCAGGAATGATGATCCATATCTGTAATCCCGGTGACTGGGGAGCCTGAGACAGGAAGATTGTAAGTATCAAGCCATCCTGGGTACCAAAACCTTATCTCAAAATAAGATTAAAAGCAGCTAGGCATATAGCTCTATAGCAGAGCCCTTGCCTAGCATGGCATAGCCCTGGATACAATCTCTCAAGGTGGTGAAACACTTTCATGCACCCTTCAGAACCTGTGTCCTTTGTCCAAGCTTCATGGACCCCACCCAGCAACTCCTGCACTTGCAGGCAGACGAACCTCCTGACCAAGCAGGCACCCTGGTGCTCCTCAGTGTAGCTCAGGAGCCCTGATGCTCAGGAGAGGAGAAAGAGAATACTCAGGCCTTGAATTCCTTCCCTTTCTCGCCCCTCTCTGGTCCCACTTGTCATTTGGGAGGCTTCTCTGGAGGGCAAAAGTGGTGGGGAAAATGGAGGGGAAGCAGAGAGGCCCGGGGAGGGTGCAGCGCAGCCCTGCACACCACACACGGGCGCACATATGTTGGCTGCACAGGGTAGCCACCTGGCCGGTGACCAGATTTTCATTCCCACCTTTCCTATGGTAGAGGGAGGACCAAGGGTTCTGATGGCTCCAGGGTAGAAATCCACCTGGAATGAAAGGAAAGTGCTCTGCCATCCAGCTATGGCCTGTCAGGAACCAGAACGCTGGGAAGGCGGAAGTGGCCTCAGCCATGGGACAGCATCCTGCCCAAGGCATCCCACCATCCATCAACCAGCACAGACTTATTGAACACTTTCTCTGTCCCCAGCACAGTGCCAAAGGCTGTGGGAATAGGGCAGGAGTGTGCTGGCCAGGGAAGCATTTAGCAATGGAGTTAGTCATGCACTCATAAAAAGACAGTGAGCAAGCCAGGGGCACACTGGGGCTCAGGAGAGAAGGGAGAGACAAAAGGTTCCAGCTTTCAGAGGGATGCCAGGGAGGACTTGCTGCTCATGGGACGTGGGAGTCACTCGGACCAGGTGGCATAAATAGAGCAAGGGAATCAAAGCCTAATCAAGGCCACAGTGGTAAGGAAGGTTGGAGGAACCTGCAGGCTGAGTGTGATGGTGCAGGCCTGTAATCCCAGTACTCTGGGAGGCTGAGGCAGGAGGACTGTAAGTCACTCAGGGTTAAGGCCCTTAGTTCAATGCCCAGAACCACAAAAAGGGCATCCAGCGGTGGGAGGGGCCTGGAAGAAGATCTGGAAGATCCAGGTGGACACACTGTCAGACCAAGCACTGCAGGCTTTGGACATGGGCCCCTACAAACAACTGAGGGTATTTGGACAGACAGATGACCCAATGAGACATGATTAGCGAGATTGATCTTACAACTGTGCAAAGGATGGAGACTAGAGAGCCATTGGGAGTCACCTATAATAGCCTTGGCCTGCAGCGATAAGGACCCAAACCAGGAGGTAACAGTGGGCATGGACAGGAGGAGATGGTTGTCAGAGGCACTACATTGTAAAGATGAATCGGCAGGATGCTGGTGATGGATAATGGCAAATTATCTTCCACTCAGAGAAAGGCCAGGCCAGGATAAAGAAAACAGCCCTGACTTCCCAGAGTTTGCCCTGGGAAAAAATAAATGGTCAACTTTATGGCAAAATACATGTTAATACTCTTTGAT